AGGCAAGGAAAGAGAAACAACTGATGTACTAAACTCAGGTGTTCATTGAGGAAGAGGTCAACAACAGGCCTCGAGCACTGCAAGGAAAGAATTCCACTGGACGATATCGGCATAGAAGAGGGAGAAATGTTTTGGTTAACAGAAACACTCAAGATGAGTAGATCCAGATGGCTCAATGGCATCTTCCCAGCTGTACTCAAGGAAATGAGAGATGCTCTTCAGAAGCCATTGATTGATTGACTCAGGGACTGGAGAATAGCTAATGTAGCACCCATCCACAAGGGTGACCAAACTGATGCGAGCAATCATAGACCAGTACGTCTGACGTCTATTGCATGTAAAGTAATGCAAACAATTATCTGAGCTAAAGCAGGGGAGAGAGCTAAAATTGACACACAGTGCTCCTTCAGTGGTAATGCTGCTGAAGAATAAAGCCTGAGGAACTTAAGTCACAGCCCCATTGTGATAAAATACATTCTCACCAGGTGTGCCCTGCTTTGAGCCTGTTTCTTTCCGGGATAGGCTCTGGCTCCCCTGTGACCCTGAATTGGAAGAAGAGGTTAGAAAACGGTTGGATGGTTGAGGTGACTGACTGGCCAGCATGGGAAAGCAGAGATGATGCCCTTTCTTACTGGCAAACAGACAATCATTCAGTCATCCAGCCATGGCAGACGCTGAGAATCCTCCAACATGTTGCAATAAAATCCCGTCTCAGCCTCTGCTGGGACTCAGAGGAGTGGGAGAGTGTCACGACCGCTACTCCTCCTCTTGAGGGTGCTCCAGCCCTTCCTTGTTCTACCTCATTCCCCACACCTGTTCCTTATTCCAGCCTCTCCTTAGTTCCACCTTAAAAGCCAGACGTAGACGTTACTCGAGGTTCCTCTTTGAATCCCGTTTCGTGAGAGCCCGGGTCCTGCAGCGTCTGGCTCCGTTATGATTTTAACTTTCTGTTCCTGATTCCCCCCGCCGGTTCCTGTTCCTTATTCCCCCCGGATGGATCGCCTGGCCATGGACTTTTGCCTCTGTCTTGGATGACCCGTTTGGACTTGTACATGGATTGTTCGCCCCGGACTCACTTCCCCTGGACACCTGCACTCCTTGGACACGCCCCCTGTCTCCAGACCCTCTCCTGCATGACTTTTTCCCCAGTGTTTCCTTACAATTCAACAAGATCGTGTCGTCTGCATAGGGCCCGGAAAGAACTGTTTAGTGACAGAGAGACTGATGTTACAGACCAGCTTGGCTACTGGGCAGTTGTATGTTTTCTGTTTTATGCTAAGGGACTTCATTCTTGAATTCTGTTCTAACTTTTTCAGTAGTTGGGATTTAGATCTGGCTACCTGGCTACTGTTTACTGCCCATTTCTAATCATCAGCCTTGAGTTCTGGTGCTTAGTCTCTCAAATTGTGTTCATGAGCTTTCTTATGAACATTGCCCTTCCAATTAATGTGGTTAATTGCCATTTTTATTATTCTAGCTTGCTTCTGTATTTTCAATTCATTTATCTAGTTATGTTTTTTTACTGTACAACTGTTTTCTTTGACTTGTTTTCGCTGCACTTGACAATAATAGCAACAGGACTAACAAATTCAGATGCCTTCAAGCTGTTTTGCTAGTCTGACAGCCTGTTCAGACCAAGATTAATTATAAAGTGCAGTATAGCATTCTCAGGGTCTAAGCGGTACTGTATTGTAGAAACCCAATCCAGGGCCAGGAAGAGCCATTCATGACAGCAGTGAAGCAGGGTTTACAGCCCTCTTCATCATGGAATGAATGCATTTACAGTAGCTGATCAACAGCTGATCAGTTTGGGTTTGGGAGATGGATGGAAACCAGATTACCTGGAGATCATTCTGAGGATAAGTGGAGAACAAGCAGAATCCACATAGGCAGGTGACCAAAGCCAGAGTCAAACCCCAGATCAGTGAACAGTGAGGAAACAGTGCTAACTACCTCACCACTGTCCTGCACAATAACAGCCGGATTCCCTCAGCTGAGAGAAAAATAGATCTGTTTAGCAGCAGTAGGTTCCATTTAAAGTTTTCTAAGCCTCAAAACCTTTCATAAAAGTAGAAAGACGTTAATAATATAATCACAGTTCATCATTTCATAGTTCTGTGTAATTTTATGTGATATAACCTATCAAATCTGAAATGTCAGCAGAGTTTGCCACCCATACAAGAGTCTGTACCATGAAATGGTGAAACTGACATGCAAAGGTAGTCCTTCTGGCTTCATTCAAGCTCATTCAAACTCATGAAATGCAACAGGTGAGAGGGAAGCACTAGTAAGCTCAAACACCAATAATCTGAGCCTCCACCCCCCCTCTCCCTGAGTCTCTGTAGCCCCCAGTTTGCATCGCATAGGGGCTGACATATTCCCCTCCCTGGAAACCACACGGTTCCACTGCGCCTTTACCAGGGTTACAGTGTTTCACCCAGGCAGGCAAGGGGTGTCAGAGAGATCAGGCTGCCTCTCCTATCCATAGAGGCATTTTATGATCTCTCCTGGTGAGGCTAGCATCAACCAGCAATGGGAACCAGAGATGGGACACCTTGCTTCAAAAAGGGCAAAGAGACAAACGCAGGGCTTGCGGAGTGTTGATGGGGTAAGATGTTGTTTCAAATTCTCTCCCTGCTACAACCCCTGCATCCTGCCAGGTAAAGGTTCTGTAGTTCTGAAGTAGCACAGAAGGGCAGCAAATATGTCTTTTACAGTGTTGGGGAAGCCACTTTGCAAAATGGTGCTAAATCTACAAGATCTACTTAAAAAGTTGCTGAATCCACCCAAAGTTTAACCTACTTTTAGACTGAAGAAACAAAGTTGCTGATACTGTAGGTACTGTATAAATGTGTATATATTGTAGGTGCTTGCAAGTGACAGTAGTAATGCTGATGTAGTTTAAAACTAACAGCAAAAACTGACAGATGGTGTTGGGCGAGAGGAAGATCCTTATCGGCCTTTGCTGATAAGAGTTTGCAAACTTCCCTCGGCTGAGTGCAAACCTTTTTTTCCATGTTGCCCAAAGCTTGCGCCCTTTCAATAACAGATTCACAGGTGGTTTCAAAAAGCCTTTGATTGCCTGGAAATGATTTTTTTATGATGGTGCATTTCGAAACCCTGCAAAAATGCCAGAAAAAAATGATGGTCCCAACTTGAATTGTGCGTTTATATTTGTAGGGGTCTTTTAAATCCTCCAAAGCATACATTTGTATTATTATCTACAATGACCTTATTTTTCAGACACAGTTTGCACACTTTGCTACACATTTGATATACAAATTTTTATAACTACAGATCCAGTGATAAACAAGATAATATAGATTGTTCCAAGAATGTGACAGTCATGACAAACTAAAACAGTTGTATCAGTTTTATTGAGGGCTGAAGAAAATCTTTTTAGCAGTTATGTTAAGAATGCTTTCTTAACCAGAGAAGCTGTGTAAAATGGGGTGGCCTTAAAATGTGTAACATGTGTTGTTATCACTGTTCTTGAATGACATGAAATAGTAACAATTACTGTAAAACCGCAAAATTAAATACAGGTATGATTCTCATCATTTATGAGTAACCTAGAATTAGATGTTGAAATAATGGTGAGCAAATGCAATAATAGGAATTACAATGATTAAGGTATTAATATGGATACTAATCCCATCCTTCCTTTAGAGCTTTAGAAAGGAACTTTGTGACTTTTTCTTGTAGCAGCACAGGGACAGCAAACATCCATTTATGGGCCTGTGTTTGTGTTAATTTCAAGCAGGCCTGAGGCCAGAGGGATTGGGTTGCTTAGCAACGGTGGTAACAGGCTGAATTTCTGTTACTGCCCTGTGTGTGTTTGTGGTGAGCAGGGAGCTGCTCCTGCCCAGCCCACACAGCAAAGCGAATGGCTCATACAGCTCCCTGTGGGACCAGTTATGATTAGTGGATAGGAACCACTGATCTTGTAATGGTTTAACTCGTGCTCCCTAAAACAATTCTGCTTTGGGCTTTTTAGTTCCCTGTTGTTCAGCTGTGCAATGTCCTTGAGCAGCTGCTTCAATCCAATGCCAGTTACAAAGGCTGAGAGGTACCCGAGCAGGTTTTTAATAAGCAGCTTGGTTCAGGAGCTGTAATAATGGCTCTGACGTGGTCTCTTGTGTATGCTGTTTTCGCAGTCCAGCTAAGTGTACCCTCTGATATACTGTACCTTGTGCTTCACCTGTGCTTCCTGTGGTTGAGCTATACCGTATGATATAGGCAATAGCTTCAGTATTTTAAGTACATTATGGTATAGGTGTTGTTAAAAGATACTTTTCAAAGTATAATTATAATCCATTATATTTACTTGTGTAAGAGATTACTTTTTAGATTGATTAAATGATTGGGGAAACTGTTTTTAAGAGGTACATTTATAATACAGACACTGCATAGATCACTGAAATTGATAGCGTGCAAAACGTATTTTGTTTAACTATTAACCCATATATCTTTTTCTCAATTTTTTAAATGGAATCCCTTTGCCAAGTGAGTTGTAATTGCAACAGTTTTGTAATTTAGAAGCAGTTTTGCACAGCACTTGTGCTACATACTGTTACCAGAGCCTTGTTATTGTGATAACATCCAAACACAAGGATGCTGTACATGTTGATAAAGAATACATTAAAAAGTAAATAAAATGAAACAAGAGCAAACTGAAAGGCAATCAGACGTAGGCCCTGGTAAGAAGATGAGTTTTAAATTTACATTTGAAAAGAGTTTAAGAATTTGGTAGTTGAAGAATTTCCAGCTTTTTTATTTATATAGGAAAGTGAAAGCAGGTGAGATTAGGATATATCCTTCCTCCCAAACATCTATTAGAAACTCTGTTAAGAGCCCAAAACCTAGCAGCCTGAACTCTGCCAGTTTATTTCAATGAGCTTTCTAAGGTTGTAGCTCAGCTCCACAATCCACAAAGGATGAAGGTTAAGGGTCTTCAGGTCAACTTTTTCTAACCATAAAATCAATCATTTCTCTTCCAGCTGTGATTTGGAAACCAAAAATAATACTTTCAAACAGCACCTCTAACCACAGTGCTTTTGCAATAAGGCCAACAAGTGCTCCCAAAAACCCACATCAGGAATGGCGGACCTCCCTGGAACCATACCACCCTCAGAGGGCACCACAGGCGCTGGGGAGACAGCAGAGTTGGAGTGCCCGGTCTGCTACCAGGAATACAACCAGGGACCCAAGTGTCCTCGCATGCTGGAGTGCTTGCATGTCTTCTGCACGGAGTGCCTGCAGAAAATCCAGCTGTCTTCCCCCAACCCGCCTGACCCCACCGCCACCCCGGCCATCTCCTGCCCCCTCTGCCGCCACCCCACCCCTCTGGAGACGGGGGGGCCCCTGTCCCTGCCCTGCCAGCACCGCATCATGGCACAGCTGCCACACGTGACCTTCCGCATGCCCCTGGCGGCTCGGCTGGCCACTGTCACGCAGCGGGTCGTCCTCTCCCTGGAGTCCCGGGAAGCTCGGTTCATCATCCTTCCCACCGTCAGCCTGCGGGTGGAGCAGATGGGCACCGAGAGTGACGCCAACAGCCGCTCGCTCTTGTCCAGCGACGCCGGGGAGCTACGCCAGAGGCGCCAAGCTTTGATTTGCGTGCAGCTGATCTCCGTGGTCTTTTGGCTCATGTTCATCATGACCTGTGTCGTAGGAGTGGTGTTCGGGCCCAACTTCTTCCACAATTAACCAAACCTGATTTCCTTTTGTCCTGGTGTCCGTTGTAACAAACATGTGGTCACTGTCTGGTCCAACATGTTTGCTTTGGTGTTTTATAATCTAGAGAATCAATCAAGTGGGAAATAAGGGTGACAAGGTTTTAACTTTGACTTCTGCATTTGGACATCGGAAGTTTGAAAGCAAACCGGGGTTGGTGATACGCAGAGTTTAAACAAGAGTGAACAATTTGTAATCGATTTTAAGAACAAACAGCTACCTTTTCTTGAAATCAGAGCTATTCCCGATTTCTATGGTTTAAGTCAAGTTGAGACCCCCCTCATAAATGAGATGGTAGCCCGTCACAGGTCGTATGCTCCATGTGTGAAACGTAAGCTTGGTTGATTGGGGTAATCTGGATACAACAGCAAAGACTGGGCTGGAGCAGATCTCCAGCCAAATCCTCAGTGCTATTCCCTTTTGAATGCTTGCAGGGAATGATATGCAGAGGCCTACATTTGCAGCCAATTTGTAATTTTAACCTTGAATTCAAAAGATAACAGAATGATTTCAATTAAAGGTTCTGATCATATTATTTCTATTTTCTGCTCCAATCCCGGGTTCATAAGTGCTCAGCGATTTACTCAGACTGGTTCGTGCACTGATCTTTCCCAAGTCTATAGCACAACCTAGATTAAATAGACACAATTGTCTGTTCTCCTGGCTGAGACTTCGGACAACCCTATTTTAAAATGAACAAATGTGGGATAGGACTGAAACTGTGGATGACATCTCGAATCCTTGCAGACTTGATGGTTCATATTTCTCTTTATTCTCAGGCCTCTCATGTTACTTTCCTCTTGGTCCTCTCTGGCGCCCCCATGTGGCACCTTCCATTGCCTCCTCAAGAAACCGTTGCTGGATTGCATGGTTCACCATTGGAACGTTGCTTTTGTTTCAGATATGCTAGATGTGCTAGCCTGAGATTCTCCAATCCCATTCTTGGAAAGTCCCAGTCTGATAAGTTCATATCTCCCCTCTCCTTATAGTCATTTGGAAAACGTACATCATCTATCAGCTAAGAAAGTAATCTGTTCGATGAAAAGAAGCTAGATCCTGGAGAGAAGAGGAGGAATCAGATCTTTCTCCAAACAATTTCTAACACTTTTAACTTAAGAAATTGCCTTTGTCATTGATCACACCTGAATTGATCTTCAGGAATTGATGTATTTTAATAATTGATAATTTTATTCATTATTTGTAAAAACTACTGGACTGGGACTCTCCAGGACCAAATTAGGAAACATTTGCTTTGGACCGTGGATCAGAGAATAATATTTTGATAATTCCTCTATCTTGTTTTGACTACTTTGCTATATGATATTATTGTGTTAATGTACTTGCTTGTAATTGTTCTATTCATTACTTTTAATATGTTACAGTTCTATGGTTGGTTATGACTACTAGACATCTTAGATCACAGTGTCAAATAATCAATATTAATAATAGAGATCTTCTTTGCCCTGTAACCCTTTTTCAGTCACAAAAAGAATGGTTTTGGGAAAGATGAAATGGGAATAATAATATAATTATTGCTTCCTACATAATAATGATTTTATCAGAACAAAGATGGCTATTAGGTTTGAAAGGGTTACGTACAGTATACAGTATAAATGCACTTTAGTAGAAACTTTAGTTTTAACACAATTTGTGAATATGTCTTCTCTATTTTCCTGTCATGCAGTGTTGCACATACTGTATCTGTGTATGTCTGCTGTGATTCTGTCTTGTAGTTTCATTTTGTCCATCAAGGATGCATCCTAAAAACTACCCAGAGATACACAAGATTCGAATGGGGACATTTGAAAACTCCCTGAGAAGTGTGAAGACCTGACACTTCAAATGGATTGGCACACCCTGGTATACCTTCATAACAGACACAGGCCCAGTGACATCCTGCTCTGAAACTGGAACAGAAGTTTGGAGAACTGCAGAAATCGTGAGGTACCCCAGCAAATAGAAGAAAATGTACAAGGACGGTCAGATCAAGAAGAGAAATACAGCGCAGTTCCAGTGTGTGAGAGACTTTCCAAAGGTTTAATCTATTATACTAAATGGGTATATGTAGCCCTATATTTGATTTGCTGTTGCCTTTTCTTTGCACATAAAATCCTGTTGGTTTGAAAACTTTACAGGTCTCACATCTCTTGTGTTCAATTTCTGCTTCGGCATTACTGCATTATCTTACAGATCATCCCGGAGTCAATCTCTCTGAGGACTATTCCTGTAACATCAGGCTATCTGCCTAAAGAGTCTTCCAAGAGTGTCTTAGAGTGTCTCTTTCACTCTTGATCTATTAAACAACACAGCTAACGAGTATGCTAATAATGAGTATACTAATGAGACAGTATACTGTACTGCTCCCACGTGTAAATACGTGAACCTGCTTGTGCATTTTGCACAGACCTCTTTAAAATCCTTTAGGTTTAAAAGCCCTTGAAATCAAGAGCTGTGTTATTAAGATCTATTATCATCTTGCTCATGCTGAAGAATTTTGAACCAAAAGGAAAATCATGGACGAACTTAACTGATCTCTTAGAGGGGCAGTATGTGACTTCTTGATTTTTCAGTACCCACTTCCCTGCAGAAGACAGAGCAATAAATAATACTGTGGCTAAGCTGTTGAGCAGAATGGTGGCGCAGTGGTTAGTGTTATTACCTTGCAGCACTATGGCCCTGGGTTCAGTTCTTGGGCTGCTATTTGTGTGGAGTTTGTATGTTCTCTATGTTCATGAGGGTTTCTTCTGTGTGCTCTGGTTTCCTATGTGTCCAAAGACATACAGGTGGGTTAATTGGCTTCAGGGAAAAGTATCCCCAGTGTAAGTGTAAGTGTGATGTGTGTTTTTGTATCTGTGTGTGCACTATGGTCCCAGTCAGGGTGTACCCCTCCTTACACCTGTTATTGCTGGGATAGGTTCTTGGTCTCCTGTGACCCTGAACTGGATGGATGGGTGATCAGGCTCAGGCCACCCCTGTAAGGATGAGCAGCAGAGATATCATGCACTCTAAAATCACTGGGCTGATTTTAGAGTGCATGATATTCTCAGACAGCTGGACATCAGAAAACTATTTCATGGAGTGGTACAGGAATATTTTAAATGCCAAAACAGATTGTGTATGCAGTGTATTCTGTCCTTGTCCTGACATTACTGTTAACACTAGAGGTTGGCCAGGTCTCTGCAATGAATTTATATTCTGTTTTCTGAGACCAGATGAACTTAATTCAAACTTTCACTAAACAGCATAGTGACGTATTGCATCTCATCATAACCTTTATTATTTGTTCCCCCAGTGGGTAACCCTCAGACAGAAAGTTTTGGTTTTCCCAAAACTCTGCTCTCTGCCCTTCTGCACTGCCGCAGGTGTTTGACTTGGCAAAGAAACCAATTTTGATCTTTACCTTGCTCCTCAGCTCTTTCACTTTCCTTTTCTCTGCACCCCGCTGTCAGAGAATGGCCTTCACTCTCTGTTTCCAGAAAGCCATCCGGATTTTCGGATGAAGGGTGTCAGTGAGACAGCTGTCGTTTCTGAAGGTCATCCTCTCAGGAAAGAGCAGAATCCAGCCACCCCCCCGAAGAGGAGCCTTGTTTCGGTTTGTCAGGTTATGGGAGGGCATGTTTGTGTTTCGGCAGACAGATAAGAGTAGGGGGTTTCCTTTTCAAGCTTCTGCTGTTGGGAAAGGGAACTGAGGATGAAGCTGGTATTGCACAACAACCTGAAACTTAAAAATAGAAAGAGGCGGGGAGGGTATATACTGTACTATACTGTGGAATTTAATAACGCCCTCTGGCACAATTCTCTTTTTTTACTGCAGTTAAGTATTGGCTTAAAAGCTTCTGTAGTGCGTGGAAGACAAGCCCAAGTGGATGGAAGAGGATTGAAAAATAAATGTCAGAGTAATGTCAGAATGTCACGATAATTCTAAAGCATTAGAACAATGTGTTAAATGAAATTATTCCATTAGACAAACTTACAGGACAGTTCTATGTTGCCATGTTTCAATGGTCTATAATAATAATATACAGTAGCACCTATAAAAGTAGCATCTCTAGCTACTTTACATTGGTTGTAAAAAAATAAATTAAAAGGATAACATATTATTGTTTGTTTTAAACTTAACTAATAGACTTTAGACTCAACACTAAATGCTTGTCTTCTGGCTCACCTAGTGTTAAGGTTGGGTACTGACAAACTATTTCAGGGACTTTACCAAATACAATGACTTTCTATCATTGGGAAAGTGGGTTTAGGCACAAGACAGGAATCTTTTAAGGGAAGAAGTAATAAAACACCTGTTTAGACAAAAAACAAAAATATTTCACTTTTATTAAAGAACTTCAAGGCATCAACGAGGTCCCTACAACATGCTCACCACATATGTATCAAACAGAAACCAAGCCATTCATTTATCACATTACCAGACATGAACAGCAACACGATTAAGAGCCACAGAGCTATGAAGACATATAAGCAAAATCCTTTCCTGAGGAATAACAGCAACCCAGGATAAAGTGCAATGAAAAATGTTCATTGAGGTTTTAATCCTAGTAAACTTAACCCTGTTGGCTGAGGGCCAACACTCCGCCTGTGGGACACTGGAACCCCCCTGCAGTGTGAGGAGTGAACCAACAGGGAAAGCTACAAAGGAGCAGAAGGGGTGGAAGAGGGATTCAAAAGACATGCAAAAAGCCCAAAAAGTTTTATGTGTAGCATTTATAGTTCTTTTAAACCGAGGCAGTTATGTCAGGAATGATTACCATTGAGGACAGCGAAGGCCGCTGTTATCTCTCCCCAGGCTTCCTGGATTCATACACTTCATGCAGTGTTATCACATACACACAGAAACAAGGCCATTAAGCCAATAATATCCATTATCAGCACAGACACACAAGAGCAAAACAAGGTGATTAAGTGTTCATTTTATTATACACTGGAATCCAGATTACAGTTCTGGATTTTAACATATGATGTTATGTATTATGGATGGTCAATAATCATTCATACATCAAAGAGATGTTATTTTTGGCTTTAGGTGTTTACCTGTTAATAGTGTTACATCACACATCAACTATTTCCACCAAAAACTGTTTAAGAACTCAATTGCAAACTTGGCAGATATCATCCTTGATTTTTTTTAAAAGGCTCCTGAATTAAGCCAATTAGTTGCCTTACGCATTGTACTCTTCTTCTCAAATCTCAAACTATTTCTGTTGACAAAATTTTCATGCTGACAATTCCAAACTTGGCAGTCATCTTGAGTCTCCTATGATGACTGGTTAGAATGTCTTCTTTAACCACTTTGCACCCTCACATGTGCCTGAAGTCATCAATAATATAGACATCCTGCCCATGCGTGTGGCAGTCTGGCCAGTGTCTCAATAACCCCTGGATCAAGCTTGTTATACAGGTTGAACCCATATTATCCTCAGGTATCTGAATGAGATCACATTGGTGCAATCCTACGCTTAACAATTGTATGCATGGAATGAACCAATACTTGTGTATCCCCAAGAATGCAGGGGTGAACTTTGCTGTGAATAGAAATGAAAAGACATTTGATGTTTGTGCTTGACTGAGGAGCCAATGCTCAGAGCAGCTATCTGTGGCATTAAGACTGAATGTCTCTGAGTCAGAATTCCTCCTAAACATCGGCACAGATAAAGTAACAGTGGAAGGAGGATGGGTCACAAGACCTTGTCCGAGAGGCATGTGAGACTAATGTGCACAACAACTGACTGCTATTCAACATTAATTGTTAAATTAAGTAATGAGCAACCAGATGCATTCAAAGGTGTAGAGGAATGTTCTACGTTGTCAGGCTCAAGTCTTTAACAGAGAAAACCATGGCTGGATTTGAAATCCTTGAAGGCACAAACTAGTAAATATTTTTTCAGAATAAACAGTTTAATATCTGTCAGTGGTCAAAAGGGGGAAACTATGTGGAAATGCATTTAAAACTGAGAACAGGAGGTTTGTCTGTACACATTGGGTAGTGGGAGTGCAGAACAGGCTACCCAGCTTCTTTCAAGAAAGGACTGAATGAGATTATTGGATCAATTCGTTTGCTTTTCTGTATAAAATCCTTTTTTCTTTAGGACAACACAAAAAGACACTGTGGGATGTTTTGTCAAACATCCAATATTTTAATTCTGAAAATAGAATTGAGAAACTGAAAAAAGGGGTAAGGTTCTAAATGTTATTGCTAAACATTATTGAAATTCTTGGAATTAAAAATGATCAGTTCAAACCAACTAATGCAGTCTTTTATGGTGACCATCTCTTTTTTCTCACCATTGTCTTGCTGTCTTCCATGTCCTTTACATAAGGATAGTGGTTCTGTGGCCACTGTTTGACTGGCAGGATGTCATTGAGCCCCACATTGATCTGTAGGTGAGAAGCAGAGTTCAGAAATGAAGTCATCCCACAGTTTCCTGTTAAGAACCCTAGCAGAAATTCTTCAGATTTTGACATCCAACAGGAACTCCCATCTCACCTTCTTCCTTCTCCTTGTACAAGATCTGCCCATCCTTCACACTCCAGCTCAGTGTTGTGGCTTCCATTGAAACTCTCTTGGACATCTCCTCATTGAACTGAAACATATACATAGACTTCAGTTCCTGCTGCACTGTATTGTATTGAACTTCACGCAGATCTATACAACAGGATATGTTGCTCTCTAGGTAGGTAGGGGAAGCTCTTTGGGATGTTTGGTAGGAGACGGGAGCTCTCAAGAACAGGTTGGGACATTCTTTAGACTTCTGAGGCAAATGTTTGGAAGTATTTTTTTAAATCTCCAATTACTTAGAAATGCTCTGCTGAATGGAGTGTAGGAACACATCACAGAGGATGCATTAAAGTTCATTTCATGGAGTAAGGTTTTGCCAGTCTAGGGGCAGAAGATTAAACATTTAACTAGTTGCAGCTGATAGACCAGAAAGGATCATGATATGCTAACTCATCCACCCATCTCCCATGGAAATATAGGGGCAGTGCATTCCATATACGGTAAGCCCTTTTTCTGTAATGACACTATTATGCCTGCTCTCTCCAAAGCATTGAAAATCCCACTAGAATCACCACAGCAACCGCCCACAGTTACAATCAGCCCATTGCTGTGACAAGCAGATGAGGTAGAAGATCATTTCCACCTGTGCACACTTAAGCACCTGGCTATATAGGACCTGCCCCTGTGATACTCTGGCACTTGCTGGATGGATGCTGCACACTGGTGGTGGTGGAGGGGAGTCTCCATTACCTTTAAAGCACTTTGAGTGGAGTGTCCAGAAAAATGCTATATAAGTGTCAGCAATTATTATTAGCGTGTTACCCTGGTCTTAGCATTTTCAGTGAGCTGATTTTGTTTCTGACAGTCCTATGCTTTGACAGTGCTTTGTTCGACTTTGTTTCATGGAATTCTCTCTGGATTGTTTTCTTGTGTTCTCTCTGGCTTTGCACTTGACCGCTTGCTCTATTAATTTGTTTTCAGATACCCTTAAGAACTTTGATATCGACCCCCCCCACCCCAACTTGGGTTTCAAGAAACAAGAAGTTGCAGTAGTAACCACTCATTCCTTTTATTTTCGAAAAGAAGCCACATAAAACAGGATATCACCACCACCCAGGAGTGATGGCCAGTTAATCTGGGCCTGGTCAATACTGGGATGGGGGATTTCTACGAAAAACAAACAGGTTGATGCTGTAAGTGGTGTTGCTAGACTGATAGTTGGAACTCTTCCCAGAATTTCCAATCCCATGACTGCAGTAACTGTGCTGTAAGAGAAACTAACCTTTCGCAAGAGACATAAAAGTCTAAAGTTTTTATAACAGCGGTGTGTTAAACACAGTTGGGGGCCAAAATTTCACTCTGGACCCCCTTATTTTCTTCTTTAGCCCCACTAGTGAAGCAGTATCTCTGTGCTCCCCCTGATCGTCTGTGTGCTGGGGCTATTATGCATCACCCAGGTGGGATCAGCATTGCTGTGGGGGTTTGTCTCCTAAGTGCATGAAGCGCTCATGAATGAAACAATGAGTTGTTGTACAGCTGCACATAAATGGCAAATAAGGATTTGGGCACGCCGTTCTCCAAGAAAGGGTCACCTACCTTCATTAAAATGTACCCCTGAATATCTGGATCATTAGGATTCAAAGCCTGGTCCAGAGTGAATTTCACCCTTATTTTGACTCGGCTTTTCACTGTGAACAAAAAGAGAATTTATATAAAATACATGTTGTGGAGACATTAGAACATACTGTATACTGTGTAAAGATGACTCCAATATACACTGAAAAGTCACTTCTTCTCTTTCTTTATCCACTCTGACAGATCCCCACTTCACATGGATGTTTAAAGGTCCTGAAGGCTTTATTTGAAAGGTTTTTATCAGAAACTGATAAAACAAAATACATTCTTAATGAAGATAAGCATAGTAACTCCTTTTACTGCTACCTCTGCTGCCCTAAATACTTCCCCATTCCACGGAGATTATAGACCATTCCAATTCCAAAAGATGTTTTGCCTTGCCCCCGAATGTCTGCAATAGCGTCATTTCTGCTTGAGCAGTTCGTACCTTGACACGGGTTCGAGCTGCTGGTCAGCGTGACTCCTGGAGGGGCAGCATATCCAGCTTCACAGGAGCAGCTGTAGCTCCCAGCGGTGTTGATACATTGTGCGTTAGGACCACAGATTGAGGGATTGGCTGCACACTCGTTAATATCTGCAGAGGATTTAAGTCACAAATGTTATTACCAGTGCACAATATTAATAAAAATAACAGAATAAAGTGCAAAGGGCTCGGCAAAGCAGCAGGCATGTGTACAATTCTGAAGCATTCAAGTTCAGAATGTGGAATGCACACAAGACAATAGCATCTCAGTATCTGAGTATCTTTCACCCACCTGCGCTATTGGTCAAAATCAGGGTCAATCAATCCAGGGTCAGTGTTAGAAATTTAGCACAGATTGTCTGCAGCAGGTAAGCCCACACCTTTTCTTTCCTTCAGAACAAGCCAGTTTGCTAAGGTTTATTGTCCAAATGTATTTGAAGGCCATAAGAACGCACCTACAGTACTCTACGAAGCAGTAACCAGACAGCTGCTTCCACAGTGCCCTCCTGTGGTCTAGAGGGCAGCTGGTTTTCTCCTTCATTCATATATACTGGACCTGCATCTAACCTTCTACCCATAAATGACAAAAGCATAAACTATTTCAAGGAAAATATAACATAAAAATAGCTCTGTGGATAGTTGTGAGGGAAGATAAGCAGTTCTGTGTATACTATTTTGTTATTGTTACTTTAACAATTTATATGGAAAAGAGCAGCATGCCAGCAAGAGGTCTGTAGGTGCTTACAAGGAGGTAAGATCTTATAAAATAAAAGACTGAGTCCAAGTTGAGATTGTTACGTCTTTTGCAGATTTCTGAGGAGGTAGAGCATCTGTCAATCCTTCATTGTACCGGTTCTTTTGACCTGCCTTATCTAAGTCTAATGATCCTGCTGTTTTCCTTCCGACAAGCATTGTTGAGACTAATATCTGGCTCAATGATAAGGTTGCTCCTGGTTTTTAATAGAAAGATCAGTGTCATTTTGGGAATATTTATGCACCAAATCCAAGAACACTGCAATTCAGAATGTCCCCGGACACAAGAAGTTTATTTTTTATCCAAAGCCACAAATCATCTTTCTTTCCAACTGCCTCTCTCTTTTTTGGAATTTTTGGATTTATTTTCACACGTTATTGCAAGTATCCTCCCATAATTGTTAGTACATTTCTTTTGGATGCACTACTGAATGGCTGCAGTCATGTAATTTCTGTGTGGGAAATTTGTACCCTGACACGGTTTTGAGCTGCTCGTCAGCGTGACTCCTGGAGGGGCAGCATATCCAGTGTCAGAGGAGCAGCTGTAGCTCCTAGCAGTGTTGGCACATTGTGCGTTGGGACTACAGATTGAGGGATTGACTGCACACTCATCAGTGTCTGCAGAGGATTGAAGTTGTTACAGCGTTCTGACTGTATGGAAATCACAGTTTCATTTATCCAGTGGTCCATGAAACTAACTTATTGAATTGCCAAATGGAGTGTGTGATCCTTCTTTTCTTTCCCTTTTGTTTTCTTCCTGTCTCTCTGTTCCAAGAACCCTGCTTGCAGCGCTACACATCGCCACCCCTGACTATGTTGTAATTAATGGACAATGGACATCTACGCAAACTGTGTGATTCTATTTGTAAAGAGTTTTGCCTTCTGTACTAGTTACTTTAGGATGGAAAGAGGACCCTAAAATGAGAGAGATGAAGGCATAAGATAAGGGACTGGGAGAGATTTCTTTGCACAGCTAATGCGGACCCAAGAGCAAGCTTTCATTACTTCTTTTCCTGGGTCAAGTTCCTTCATTTGAGCAGTTTTAGGAGACCAAGGTAAAGAACACATTTTGCATCTCTGGTGTAAAAGATAGATGCTGAGTTGCTCACCAGCAATTGAGGAAACATCTTGCAACTATCTGTTTTTGTAGAACATAAAAGTTAAAAATAATTAAAAATAATTAAAAATAAAAATCCATGTTGCTCTAGAGGAAGAAAATAGCGTTATGTGAAAAGCTGTCAGAATCAAAAATAAGGCTCCTTCATCAGATGTCAGGTATAATTATAATAAATAATGATCCAGTGATGATTAGGGATTGTTTACTATTAAACCTCAGAGGTTTTTGCTCCAGTGTTTTACTGTGACTGGCACTTGGAAAAGTCTCTCTAGTGAAAGGGTAAAATCTTGTGTAACAGTGTTCATGCTCTGCCTTTCGGGATCCTTGCTGAAGCTGTAAAGAACTTGTCCACACATGTCGATTTCGATCATGTTATCAAAAAGGGCATACACAATCATGTTAACTGTCGTGGTTAACAGTGGCCAGATTTTTGACAGACGTCATTAACTGAGTCTCTGTGCTCACATCGGTTTCCTCCAGGTGCTTCAGTTTCTTCTCAGAGTCCAAAGACAAACTGGAAGGTGAATTGGCTTCTTGGAAAATCGGCCCTTATGTGAGTGTGTGCGTACGTGTTTTTGTCTGTGTGTGTTCTGCAATGGACTGGCGTCCTGTCTAAGATGAATCCTGCCTTGTGCTGTTACTTACTGGTATACAGTAGATTCCAGCTTCTCTGAATTACAATAAGTGATTAGCAAATGGATGGATTTTTTTAGTTCTCAGACCTCATTTACTTTTTGGGCACTACAGTTCAACCTCCTTATGGAGAGACGAATTCCATACAAGAGACTTACCTGGTCTTGGACCACCTCCTCCCCCAAATCCATAGGAAATAATCACACACTTATAAGCCCCGATGGTGTTGATACAGGTGCTCCCTGGACAGATGTTAGGATACTGTTTACACTCATTGAAATCTGTAGAGAATCAAGTTCAGAATGACTGTGTATTCTGTTGCCAAGACTGAAAGAGCAATTAATTACACAATTTCCTTAAATTTGGGGTACTGGAGCAGATGGAAATCACCAACTGCTTTTCTGTCTTTTAGCACAACGAACCACAAGAAGCAACAAGGATGTCAGCCACATGCTATGCAACTCTCCCACCTTCCACCATTTTATCAGAGCAAAACAGTAATAATAAGCCTTTAATTAATTAACCATGTAGATCAATTAAAACAGTGACTTTGTTATTTAAAGTGCAAGAGTGTACCCAGGTATATAGGAGAGCATTTTCCTCAGGCATTCTTAATGAAGTACCTTGCCCAAGTGAACAATAACAGTTTCCCAGTCGAGATCTGAGTCTGTGGCCTTACAGTTATTGTGTTGTTCTAAGTGTAATCTGTTTATCTGTTTTAGAGGTTTATAAAAAGACAAATGACTGGAAAACCCTTTCAATCACCTTCACGAGCCACCACTACCTGGGTGATTTCCTTCTTCACCTGCATTTATAGTCTGCTTGCTATCCCAAAGAGCATTATCCTGTATATAGGAGGGGACCCACCTCCTCCAACACTGAAGTGCTGCCTCTCCTAGGTGGCGCACAGCAGCCGTTCCGCTCCAACACAGCACATCAGGGGGAGGAGGGAGAAACTGTTTCACCAGGCAAATTCATTGGGAGCTTTGGTGAGGACAGATTGTACAGCCCAGAGTGGGATTTAGTCTGTACACTGCAGAATCCTCCTCCTTTGAACAGTGCCCTGGAATTTTCAGTGACCAAATAGTGAGAAACTCGGGTTACCATATAATTTGAAGGACAGTAGGTTCTGTATCACAGTTTCTCTGGTCACTATACTGTCACGCCCTCTGCAGCCAGAGGGCGCTCCTTCTCTGTCCTGTCCCTAGTTTCCGGTCTGCTGTCCTTCCTGTCCCTCTCTTTCCCTTGGGCTATATATTTCCGGGTCTTGCACTCTGTCCTTGCTCAGCATTGACGTTCGGATGTCCTGAGACCCGCCTAGCACCAGGGCGCCCCACGTCCGCTCCCTGAGGGCATAGGTTTCTATACGGCATTCCTGAACTCTTTGCACTAATGAGCCCGAGTCTTTTTCCCGTCTCGCCGCTACGCATATGGGTCTTTTTCTGCTCTCCTGCTCCCCACGGTTAGTCCCTTTGGACGTCCGTGACATATACTTCCCTCTGTATACAGAGGGAAGGTGCGCCACCTACTGTTCCATCAACACTCCTTACAGCAGCAACCTGTTTTTTCTTTGAGGTCTCTTATTTCCAGACTGGCTTAGCTTTTGAGATCTAACCTGTAAAGCTGAGAAATCATAATATGGGACACAATCAAAACTTTAGAGATCTAACAAGATCAGGATGACCAAATAAAATTTTTACTGACCACCTCCAATCTGGGCACAGCAGGCTTCATTTGGAAGGAAACAGTCCTCACCTTTACATGGGTAGGAGTAGCTGGCCTGGGGGACTTCAGTTGGGGGGGTGAACCCAGAAGTGCAGGAACAGGTGTAACTTTGACCGGTGAATGAGCACTTTGCGTGTTTACCGCAGACTGAGATGTTATTGTTAATGCAGTCATTCACATCTGGGGAAATAAAGTTTCACATCTTGAAATCATTGTAAACGGGGGATTCATAGAAGCTCATCTTTGTGATTTCAAAGCATTGGAGATTGGATTTTAAGGTTCGATGAAGGCAGTGATTTGAAATTGTTTTTCTTTCAAAACGCCATCAAAGTGACTTTCACTCAAAACTCAATGTGGCTCATTCTGATTCTTTTCTAGACTCCGAGGTCGTGAATGGAACCAGCCTTTCTGACTGCACCATTTAATTGTATATACAGTGCCTTGCGAAAGTATTCGGCCCCCTTGAACTTTTCAACCTTTTGCCACATTTCAGGC